CGGTTTGCACAYTGTTCCGGATTGATTCATCTCTGTAATGTATTTAGTTATTTTAGCTATCTGCATTTTTTTGCAGTACTTTTCTTGCCCTTTTCCCCCCTTCTTTTGGTTCTCTTTCTCTCAACCTTGTTGAATTATGGAAGTATTATGTAGAAAAYTGTGTGTCTTAGTAGCTCTTCATCAGATGATGTCTGTTGACCTTCAAGGGCCCATAAATTTGAAGTGAGGTTTACTGTAAAATATTAAGATAAATACTTTAGAGAAGTGCAGAAAGGCTTTTTATAATTTTTGAGTCTTAAGAATTAAAACCAATCAATTTTCTTTTAACTTGAAGTAGCTGTAAAATTCAGGGACTAATAGAAATTGATGTGACTAATTGTGAATCAGTTGTTTAGCTGAATGTGTAGTTTTTAAAATTTCATGTTAAGTTTATGTATTTTTTTGTCTCCTGCTATTTGGTAGTGTCAGGGTGTGAGCCTAAGAAGGTGTCTCTATATAATATACTTCTAAGCATCCTTGTCTTTGTGGTTGCTGATTCTAGGAAGTGTATATTTCAGTGTAAATTTTTAAACACTGGTAAAATCTGGACTTATTAAGGTGTAATTTAATTATTTATGTTGTTATGGCTGCTAAGCCTGTATTAGGAAGTCAACAACATTTTAAAAAGTTGTTTCTAASCCACTGCTATCTAAAACATCATCTCACCTTTTTGTCTGCTTCACAGTAMTGTGACCTTATAGTCTTTGGGGAATTTCGTATAACAACAGTGTTGTTGCCTGTGAATTTTTTTTTTTTTTTTAATGTAGAGTAGATGTTATTTTTAAAATCTCTTAGTAGAGAAGTGGAATAGTTAAGATAGCTACAGTGCTGTAATTTGGACTGGATGTGTGTGACACTTCTAGRTTATGTTGCAGTTGGTTGTACAAAAGAATTCAGTGAGATAAAGTGGAAAAAAAATACTGGACTCCACAATTGCAACTGAAATATACTGTTCCAGGAATCTCTTTTTCCAGTGTTTTCTCCGGTTTTGTGGAGTTTTTTTGTTTGGTTTTTTATTTGTTTGGGGTTTATCTTGTTTTCTCCTACTCTCTTGATTTTAATTTCACAGTTGAGTTGGAATACAGTAACTTGTAGCACTTAGCCTGGAATAAACTTGAGGCGGATCCTGCCTTGATTGTTGCTGTGGAGCCAGCGGGGCTGGGTGCTTTATGGAGATGATGTGCCCCACCCATAAGGCAAGGAACAATATGAGGTTTTGCGTGATCCCTGTAGGCRATTTTGAGGTTTGCAAAGACTGGCTTACAACTTATGCATTTTAACCTTATTACCTAGAAGGTCAATTGTCGCAGAGCCTGTTTGTTAGGAATATTTGCAAATTCTTGAAATTTTTGGCAAACCTTTCCAGGAGTGGCCAAAACATAAGTGTAGAACAGTGTTGCACATAACTCAAAACGGAAGGGAATCTCTTTTGCTCCTCTACTCCCTCAGGTGTAGCTCAGACTTCAGATTTGACTCGGGCTAAAGCTACAGCTGTGGGAAGTCAACTGTGGAGACTGAGTCTATTGATAAAACTCTGTCATTTATGAAAGAAAGAAAACTGTAATTGTGTAGTTCAGTTTTAGTTTTCATCATGTTTCAACCCAGACCTCCTGCACACATTAAATGTTTGCACAGACATTTAGACAGATGTTGTCTACGTATTTTAATTGGAAATAGTGATCCTACAAGTTATCACTGTTTTGTTCTAGAGACTGAGAAAATGCTGCTGGGTGTCATAATTTGTCATTTTAGATATTTAAACCCAGTTTACACATTTATTCAGTTTTCATTTATCTGCAAAGTATTTGTTTGTTTTATGGTTTGAGTATTTAGGTTTCTTTGCATAATTTCAGTTAATTACCAAACATTGTAAAAAATGAAATCCACTTAAGACATATGAGCTGTTAGAGTTTTATTGTTAATATAAAATTTCAGTTATTATTTTAATACTRTCTTTACATGCAATTTAAGTAAGCCTGAATATCATAATTAGGAATTTCTTAAATAACGTTTAAGCTTGCATGTATAAAACTCATGTTTATTGTCCACTGAGGCTGACTTAATTGTAATTACTCAATACTTTTATGAATGACGGATAAGGGTTGCCTACGTCCTGTGGAAAAGAGAGGGAATATTATCTTTACTTTTTCTGTGTTATGAAAATGACCAAGTGCAAGTATTCTCACTTTCAGAGCCAGAATTTCTCAAAAATAGTCAGTATTAGACATAAGGATGCTACTTGGAAGAAAAGCATGAACAAACTGCACTAGAAATTGTGCAGCCTCCAAGGAGAGAGCAAAATTAGTSTCAGTTTCTTGACGTATCAGTAAAACTACCTAACTGTAAAGTATATATTTATTAACCTTGAAAGAACCTAGAAATAAGCTTGTATGGGACTGGAGAAATGGCTCTTGGGCTGTGGATTTGACTGCTTTTGCTGCATGCTTTTAAAGTGAGAAGCACAAGGATTTCTTGAAAGTCCAATAAAAGGGAAAGTTCTGAGACATCACTAAGAACATGGACATATTGCTGACAACAAAAGATGTCCACATGAAGGAGGGAGGTATTGTATGATATTTCTTAATCATATCCATTTAAGTCTTTCCCTCTTAGAAAAGGAAGCTGTTGAAACTACTGAGAAGTGGCATTTTAAAATTTTGTTTAGCCTCCTAMCAGTGGAAGATGACTTTAGCTTCAATTGTTAGCACAGTTATGCTGGTTTGACCTTTGTAGTATAACAGTGCGGGAGCCGGGTTGTTTGCCAACCTTCCGGGTAAAATTGCTTCATTCCAGTGCGTTCAGTCAGTTTATTCTTGGCTAGAAATTGCTTGCAGACAGCAGGTCACATAAGAGATCATTTCAGCCTGTGTCCTGATGGCATTGGATGGTCTTCATTCCAGCCAAATACATATTTACATCATGATCTTCTGTTTTTAAATGTGCGTTTTGATGTTCTCTCACTTTTAGCTAGAAGCGCAAACGTTTAGAATGTTCAGTTCTGCTGGGTCTATTTGGAGATAGGAAGAGAGAATCTGTGTGTCTGTATAGTTACTGCAAAATAAGTTMYATGTGCCTGAGATGTTCCTCTTGGGAGGGATGCTGACCTTATTGAGTTGAGATGCTTCTTGCACAGTTACATTCCTTAGGGTAGGAAATGCTGACTCCAGCACCAGCGTTTCTTTCTTCTGTGCCTTTCTTTAAACCTGAGCATAAAATTGACATTAGAATTCAATTGCAGTTCTCGATGCCAGAGTGAGAATTCTTTTGATTCAGTTGACATTTTTTGGAATTCAAATGTATTTCCTGTATTGAGGGTGAAGACTGACTTCGTTAGAGAGCAGCCAGTGTTTTTCTCTTGTCATTAAGTGGCCAGTCTAGTTGGTAACTAGCAGTTAGGGATCCTTCAGGTGTCTGTCAAGCTGTTTACTGGCTATACTTAAGCAATGAAATTATGTCAGCTGCTGTGGTATTTTAGAGCAGCTGCTGTTGCTGGCCACCAACAAATGGCTTTTCCGAGTAAGATTCCTCTTGCCTGGTCCTCTAAATTCAACCAAGTTAGTTGTGTGCCTTCCCTTTATAGTTGGTGGAGAGAAAACAATATTTACAGACTCTTGTTTTTTCTTGCCTTGGGGTAAAAATCTGCAGTCAGATAAATTACTTTTTGGAAGCACTATCTCTATTAACTAAAATATCTGGGGACTGCTTGCAAGGTTCTGACAGGTGAGGATAGGATATTCCTGCTCATTTTTAATCCCTGACTTTCCTGGGCATTTATTTAAATGAAAGGCTTCTTGGTCTTCATATTCAATAGTGGATGTCTCGACCAATTGCCTTTTATCCCSTTTGTGCTTCTCAAAAGACAAATGAGATTCTTGGAGACTTAGCTGCAGAAAGCTTCTGATCCAGAAAATGGCAGGCGAGGTTGAGGCATGAAGTGGTGACTGCTTGTAGGTATTTTTGTCTGAAAGTGTACTTATGAGTTGAGCAAGCACAAGAACTTGCCTCTTATAATGGACTTGATTTGAGCCTTGGATACAAAAGCAGGTGGTTCTTCCTTTATAATTAGGAATTAGTATTTTGCATTTGTCATAATTTTCTATTTAAAGGAGATGCTTCACAGGCAGCTACATACTTATTCTGTGCTGGAAGTTGATAGAGGTTAGCTGTCCATTTTCTACTTGACTTTTATTTACTTATGTACCATTTCTCTCCTTGTCTCCCTCACCAAAATACCTTCCCCTGTTTTCCTTTTTTTCCTTCTCTTAATTACAGTATTTCTGGAGAACTTTCCATAACCTATTTTAGTAAGTATCATAATTAACACTTAACCCTGTATTACAAACAGGGCTTTATTTTTATTTTGTTATTATTTTAGCTGAACATGGTTTACATCAGGTTTTCTCACTAATATGTAGATGTAATACTAACATGTATCTGTAGAACAGTATACTAATTATACATTACTTCAGTTAGTGAGCAGAAATACTTTTTAATCTTCTTTTGCTTATTGTTGGTAAATACTTTTATCTTCTGAAGGCTTTTTTATGCTTGTTTTATCCGTTCCTTATCCTTAATTGAATGTTTAGCCAAGGGAGGAAACAAACCCTGTCAAACAACCCAAAATTGCTTTATTTCTTATCTTTTTTCTTTCCTTTTATTTTGTTTTTTGATCTGTAATGAGCGTGCAGTTTAGAAGGCTTATCTATCCTATGGGTTTTTTTAAGTGTTTATTGTTTATGAGCCAATTTCTTTGGAATTCTTTTTTTTTTTTTTTTTTTAATGGGGGGGGAGTTTTGAAGGGTTTTTTTTTCTATGGGTTTTTTTAAGTGTTTATTGTTTATGAGCCAATTTCTTTGGAATTCTGCAAATGAATATTAAAATAGCTTGGGAAGAGACACACACTTAAGAGCTATGATGAATGATTTTGAGAAAGCAGATTCTAAATTGAACTTYTTTTGCAGGCCCAAATTGCCTTTCTTCAAGGTGAAAGGAAGGGACAGGAGAATCTGAAGAAGGATCTAGTACGAAGAATCAAAATGCTGGAATATGCGCTTAAACAGGAAAGGTATGCTGCTTTAGTGATGTGTACATGATGAAGAAATGCTGAATACAGAAACTTGATTTTGCCTTTGAATTTGACAAAACCAAGAAATACTTTTTCTGTATCTACTCAGTTCTCAAACTGAAAAATAATACTGTACTAAATAAAACCGCTAGTCTAAATGTCTGCATTATGATAAGAACAATAGCTAAAATAGTATAGCTCCAAAAACGTGCTAACAAAACCRGTAGCTGATCAATAATGAATACTTGGTAAAATTCCACTGAGCGGAATAGATTACACTCCAGAATTGCAATGTATTCTCATTATGTTCAACGTAGTGGCTTTGTTTATTAATATATGACAGCTGAAATCTTGAATAACTGTCTTCAGTCTAATAATTACTAGTTTTTAATCTTGCTAAATTTTTAGTTTTTTCAGTACGATAGACTCTACAAGAATATCTTYTGGAGATTATTTGTATGAGTGAAAAAATGTTTGTGTTTACCAGTTAATCAATGTGTATTTCTTTGCTCATGGAGATTTCAGTACAATCATTTGTACTCAGCTTACCATTTTATTCTTACATATACTTTCCTGTTATTCTAACTTCTGAGGAAAGCAAGTTGTTTTCTTACCATRTTTTCAGAAATCTCTCTGCACAACTCATTTATTTTAGGCCAAGTTTAAATTATTTTAATTAGTAAAATGTCCTTTAAAATTCTTGAATAAAGCGTATATTTATGGTACTACTGCAAAGCAATCATGCTAACATTATCATTTTCCTATCAGATAATTCCTRCTTCTCTTTAATAAAATAAGCCACTGAAACTGTTTATTTAGTAGAAATAAGATTAAAATTATGCACACAGGCAGATGAGGAATAGAATATCACTGGTATATAATTTTAAAAGCACACTAATAGCTACATCACTATTGCATTTAGATTTGCACATCTTAAATGGGCTGCTTTAGCACAAGACATGCGTTCTGCCATCTGATTCATCTCTTTCTGGTAGYAACCAATTAATCCGCTAGCATGGAGATGCAGCCAGTTTTCTGGCCAGCAGCAGCCGCAGGGCTCCAGTGTATTTTCTCCTCCTTCAGGGAATTCTCAGAGGAATGCTTAAGGCAGATACTCTTTTTGCCCAGGCCTTGCTGTGGTACTGATCTTATATCAAAGAGTGCAGAAAAATGTGAAATGTATGCATAATGGAGTTTGCAGTTTATGGCTGTGGAAAGGCTTACATTAGAAGCATGATTACAAAGCTTAGTGCTATTGGTTCAGCTAAAGGAATAGTTGCATATATTATGTGAAGATTTCTTGTATTTCAAGACTAGGGGACCTAGTCCTGGTTACTTGAAGGTATCTCTAACACTTCATGTTCATAACCCACATAAGATAGCAATTTACATTTATCAAACTATGTAAATACATTTTTGTGTGCTGTCAGAGAAACTTYGTAACATTAAAAAAAGCAAAACCARAAATCAAATTTCCATATGGATGGGGAAGATGTCCCCCAGTTGTATTCTGTATAATCTGCCTGAATTATGACATATGAAACCTAATGCAGCAGTCCCTGTCAGAATTAGGAAAAAGCTCTTGGTGGCTTCTTATTAGCAGTTTTGCATCCGTATCTTTGATGTTGTATGTTTTTTCTGCAGCGTGTAGCATTAGCCTGGGTTAGTCAGGTCAGTAGGCTACCGTCAGCTGATCTGATCTGGTGTGACAGTTTCAGTACGGGTGTGCAGTGGTTCTGTAAGCAAATGTGATGCTTGTGACTGGTGTGTGCTGGAGACAGCTATTTATGAGTTTGTMGTTTTAAACAGCAGTTTTATTTGCCAGTTTCTGAAGAAATGGACCTGTATTTCTGCTGGAATTATCTTCCCAGCAAGTGTTCTTGCCTGATACTTTAAAGAATGGCAACATACTGAGCTTGGAAGCACTGCTCTGTTTCCGAGCATTTTCCTAAATCAGCTGTCAGCCAGTAGTCTGTTCGGATGCTGGCATTTTCCCCTGAGTTCTCAGAGGTGGAAAATGAGATCCTRCAAGGTAGGAGGAAGACATTTCTGTCAAGTTTGGGGAAGGATGGTGTGCTGTGAGGGGGCAGGGAATCATTCCTGTATTCTTTTATTTCTGCCCTGGCCTTGCAACATTTCAAATCTTTCTCAGCCAGACAAAATAAGTTATGAGTAACAGAACAGAATATGAAATTGTGGACCAGTGCCCTCAGGAAACCATGAAAAAGAAATGAGCAACATTTGTTTTCTCATGTACATGCTTTTATGAGCTGCTGTTCTTTATATTGGCTGCTCCACATTTATTTTATCAACTGAAAGCTACAAATTTTACTATAAATAAACTGCTTTGGGAGCATAATTGTTGTTCTCTGTTTCATGTCACTTATGTCATTTTATAGTAAGTAAGGTAGAAAGTAAGTTTTACTTATTGGCTGTCATGTTTTTCTGACAAATTTAATGTTCAGTCTTCATGTCAATAATTGTGAAGTTACCTTTCTGTTGTGTGTATAGGAAGCCAGGTTATTTCTGCTGAAGTTTTGGTAACCAAAATAGCAAGGAGCTTAGAAGGAGCTAGTATGTAGTTAAATGCTTGCATTTTTCAGCAGCAGTTTTGATGTAGTTTTGCCAGCATCCAGTAGATTGCAGTGTGAGGCTGTTCAGATTTGAGGGTTACTTTTTATGATTTTATCAATACTTGCWCCACCACCAGTAAATTGCACTGGTGTCTCTGGATTTTCAGGAGCTAGCAGAAATGCAGTACTGTTTCTCTCAAATACATGTCCTGTTTCAGCTAGTCTAGCTCACTTCCTGTCTTAACATATTTCAWCCAAAGAACTGGACTCCTGAGCCATGTCTCCAGTAACAGTTGATTTAATTTTATGTTGTTTTCTGCAATGATGTGTCTGATCAGTGTAAGGCTGGCGCCTTCTCCCCTGGGTAGAATATCTCGCCGTGCTGTTCCTGGCAGTYGTTCTTGTTTATGTCTCTTGATTTGGCGGCAGCTCCCAGATCTTCTATGGATGTTTTGGCAGGCTCCCTCAGCACAGCTGGATCAGATGCTTCAGGTCTGGCAACAGATATTTCCAAGAAATAGTGGCTTTTTTTGACTGGGATCAAACTTGTTTCTATGTGAAGTATTCAGAAAAGTTTCACTGCACTCAGTCTTAAGAACTTTGGATGAAGAATTTTAGCATTTTCCTRAACAATTCTTGAAGTTGCGGCAGCCATGTTGGATGTCTCCAAGCACTGAATAGAAGACACATAGTTTAAAGAAAATACTGCTAATCAAAGAAAGAGAATTGTGTAATGAAGGTCAAAAGCCAAAGCAGTGGTAATATTCATACTTGTCTGAGTAAGGGCATCTACCCAGGAACATAGTTTCATAGTCCTAAAATAGCTTTCATCCAAACAACTGGAAGGCTAGTTTTCAGATAGAAAATACATTCTGTGAAGTTATATCCTTCAGGTAGTTATTTTCAAGTAATTTTTCTGTCTCTGCATACTGTTAATAATATATATGTGGTTTTCAGAAACAGAGGGTGAATCATTCCGGTTGAACAAGTTTCAGATAGTAAGTCTTTGAAATTAGTTTCTTTTTCTCCCCTGCCCCCAAACCACTGTCCTTGTTTTTGACCAGATGATACAACAATTGAAGAAACTTCCATTTTACTTTATACTTTTTTACACAAAAAATACTTTCTTTCCGTTTTCCTATTATAGTATTGCACTACTAGGGTGCGTGAACTAGAGTTCAGTGTGAACTGCAGAAGGCAAGTTGAAAGCTGTTAATAGGTGGACCATGTGATTTATGAAAAAGTGAAGAAATTACGCATGAGAGGTGGGCAGGAGATGTTCTGTCATTGTAGAAATAGATTAAATTAAAATGCGCTAATGGCATAAGTTATATTTAGAATTTCTGTAGAAAAGATTTAARGGTTATTTTGTGAAAAGTTTCATAGGCTTAAATTGCAGACTTCGTTCTAGTCTTGAAGTCTGAATTAYGGTGTTCAGGTCTTAGTGCACTTTAGAAAGAAGATTGTCTTTCATACCTATGATGTTTTCAGCTGTATCATAAAAACATATCTAATAGTAAATCTCATACATACTGCCTGAAGAAGTGTGGATGTTTCCTAGATGGCCTATTGGCAGTCTATATTGATTTTACAGGGTTTTTTTTGTAATATTTTTCTGAACTTTAGTACATAGCAGACCACGTCAGAAGATGAATTCACTGGGTCACTTTCTCTGGCATGATACTTGTGTTTCTGTTTCAAGTCTAACTGTGTCTTGCTCAGAGACCTGAATTTATACTAATTGATCTTAATTCAGGTTTGAGTATAGCACTGGGGTTTTTTTTTGTCATTTTGTGCAGTCAGGGCTCTATATAATTTTGTTTTTAAGTTTGCCAACAATATTGAAAATAAGAATTACATTTTGGGATTTTCATCTCTTCAATTGCCTCTTTGTTAGAATGTGGTTCTTCTGCCTTTTCGGTTGTGCTATTGGTCTCTGCCTGTGATATAAAACATTAGGTCCTCTAAAAGATGAAATCTTAGTCCATCTTGGACCTAAAGTAAATCTAAGGGCCAGTGGTATACAAGACCATGTAATCTACATTATCCTCTTGAAGTAAAGAATAGCGACAAAAGCTTTAAAAGCCGTTGCATTATGAGGTGGAGCCATTCACAAATGGTACTAATGGTTTAAAATGGATATAGGATGAATAATCTCATCTTGCTGAAATTATTTTATGGTTTTGATGAGTGGGGAAAACTTCAGTAAGAAGAAAGAAGACTATTACTGTTAATTTAAGAGGGAAGGATCTTAAAAAATGAACGAACATGGATTTAGAAGATTGAATAGATAGACTGAGAAGTTTAAAAACTGCAGGCTGAATATTTGGAAGATGGATTTTGGAGAACATGGGAGATCTGAGGAACAGGAAAGCTGYAAAAATGATCCTTTCAGTGAACCCAGCAAACATTTTACTGGAAATTATTAACAAAATCAGATAAGAAAATTAGTGAATGCATGGAGTGTAACGGAACTTTGTATAAGACCCATGACCTAAAAACAAATGTCAACTGCTGCAAAACTAACTTTACTCTGAAATTATTTGGAGGAATGAAGTAGAACACAGCATATACCAGTAATACAGATTAAAGCGGAGTATTAATATTTGTTCACTTCTGATAAGATAAATCAAAATGGATTACGCATTCAGGTCATTTGAATTCATGACTGCAGTAARAATTGTAGTGTTTAAAGTTGGTAAGGTAGGTTGGTGACAGAGTGGAGGATTTCTTAATTTTTGATTAATCATTGATTTTTGTTAGTGATGGTGGGGGGAAAAGTATACATAGCATCAAAATTTAACAATGATGAAATGCGGTTGTTTTACCAGGGTAACATGTAAGAAAAGGATAGTTGGGAAAGGAAAGATAAATATTTTGATTGAGCATTCAGCTTTAATTTTGTTCCACTCTCGGTTATTCTTTTCTGTACCGACCAAAATGTTTAACTTTCATCTATTGCTGTTAATACATTTCAAGCACATCCTTTCTCCTTTCTTTGCTGATTGCTGCTCAGCTGAGTTAGAGCTTAGTGCTCTGGCTCTTGAGAGTTTGTTCCTTCATCTGTCGATGTTGCTATGCCTAAGAGGCACTTCTTCACTCTTCACTTACCCTTCTCATAATTAAATGTTTATTATAATTAAAACACAGCTGGATTAGTAAGAAGCTAGTACTGATATTGAAGCATAGGAACTATCAAGCATTCTTCAGCATTATTTTGTTAGAAGTAATGAGCTTTCTTGATCAAATAGGAAACGGCAAAAACCCACCAGTAATATAATGAAGATGTTTAAGAATCAATCAGGAGGTGTAGGTGTGTTTAAGAAGCAATCAAGAGGTGTAGGTAACTTGAAAACACTTTCTTACAGCCCTGCTTGATAGAGTCATTGGAGCTTAGTGAGACTTGCTTCATACAGTTACAAAGTGTCAAAGCCATTAATTTTTTTCAAAACAAATTTTAAGTGTAAGAGCTCCCTTGTGACTAATGGAGCTAATGAAACTCATTTTCATGTTAGTGCATGTGAGAGGTTTATTTTTTTTTGGTCTTTTGCAGCCTGTTTCTTGCTGCCCTGCACTTGGCTTTGTACGTTTGCACTTGAACTGTATGTACGTGTGTGCTGCTTGACTGTCCCACTACTGCCAGGCTGCACACTCAGCATTTCCTGAGTTGTTCTCAGCCTTTTGTTCAGGATAGAAACTAGCATAGGTGTCACTCTTCTGCCCAGTTATGGATGTCTAAAACTTGCAATTTTGTACTTACAGAATTATAGTGAGTGTGAGAGAAGGAGGGAACATTGCAAAACTGGTAAAGGCTCACTTTGCCTTTCTCTGTTGCTGTGTTATAAGACTACTCTAATGAATCTTGAATAACTTTCATGTGYATTTTTACTACTGTACTACTGCGGTGTTATTATGTGTGTTTAAAAGTCTGTACATACTGAGTCTTTAGGATGAGGCTTTTCAAATTAAAAAGCATTTCCCTTTTTTTGGTAGCAACTCTTTTTGTCGTTGTATGGCATGCTTTGTGGGGCTTATTACATTAGACCTGAAGGCTAAATATTTTTGGAACAAAGTCTCCATTTTTGCACTTGGTCAAGTGGCAGATCTAGCAGCTTTGAGAGAAACTGGTGTAGATGAGCTGTCATTGCCAAGTCTCTTTTAGAATAGTTCTAACTGAGGACCTGCTGCTTTTGGAAAGCACAGCATTTCGAAGAATAAAACTAAAGATTGCTTAATGGAGTGACGAAATATGAAGTAGATGGCAGTGAACTGACATGGGTAGTAAAAATGTTTCATWGTGATGGCTAGAAAGGAAAGACTGGGGGGTTGGGAAGAGAAGCAGAAGAGAAGCTCATGTCCACAGGGAAGGAAGCTTTTCTGTGGCACGAATATCTAGTAAAATCTGCAGTCAGCTGCTCTGTGTGTTTCCTCAATATTTGCTATGCAATTACATGTAAACCTTGGGAAAAAAAAATAAAATTACATACCTGAAGTCCTGGTAAAATTATTTGTTTTCCTTTGTTCCTAGCCTAGAAGAAAGGAGTGGCTTTACGAGTGAAAACAGGTGACATATATGTGTTTAGAGATAACTTTAAATGTACTAATAGTTTTTTTCTTYTTTTGTTTTGTTTTGGTATTTTGTTTCCTTTTCTTTCAGGGCTAAATACCACAAATTAAAATATGGCACAGAATTGAATCAGGGAGATATGAAGCCACCGAACTATGATTCTGGTAAGAATTTATTAAGAATGAGTTCATTGCTGGCATAAAGGCTTGACTGTGGTTTGTGCAAAAGCTGAATTGATAGTATTGACGAGTCCCTTAATGGAACAGTGAGAATAGACATAATTAATAAAGCCTATATTTTATTCTTGTACAATTAAAAATATATGCTGRTGTTCTAAAAGAGTCTATTAATAAATCAAGTTAGTTTAGATTTTAAAAAATCTAAATCCGAATGAGCAAACTGCTCTTGGAAAGAGTAGTTTTTCTGTCTCTTAGTAATGTGTATGGATATTTTACAACAGGATGATACTAGATTTATAGCAATAGAATCCTTTTTTCTGTGGGTGATTTTCTGAATGAATTGTATAGTACATAATTAATTTTTTGTTCAATTAACTCAGTGGTATTCCAGAAAAAAAAATTAATTGCTTATTAGAAATAAGTGAGAGTTTTTGAATGAGGGATTTATTTGCAGAACTCAGATGATCATTGGAGATGCATTCAGTTAATTTCAGTGTAATGCTGTAAGAGGACAGCCATTCTTTGCCTTGGTCTCTGGAAATCTGGTTTGTTTTCATCTCCTACTTCACACAAATAGATTTTAGCATTGAACTGGAGAAATTAAGAATTTCAATCACTTCCTTTTATCCCTTTATCTCCCTGTCCTTTCCCCATGGGCAAAAAAAAAAACCAACAAGGTACAGAGATCTGGCTAGTCAAGCCATTGAAAAAAGTAGTAGGTGATATTTTTTGTATCTCAGTGTCTTGATGTTCCTGCTGCATTGAAATTGGAACCACCTATATGTACAGGAAGAACATAGAAAGTCTGCGGATTACAGCTCTGTCACTTGGTTTGTGGAGGGGATGGTCTRGTTGATTGTCATGGTAATTTCTTACCTCATTGGGTTTAAAAGATCATTAAAAAATCCTCAAACAAACAAAAAATCCAACCTCACACCAACTAATAATGCTTTACACTACGTTTTTGTTGTCCAAGTTTTTAATGAATTTTTGAGAAGTTTTATTTCATGGCATTGTCAAGGTTATTTCCGTAACTGATGAAATATTTAATTTGGTGCTGCTAAGTGGAAGACATCAATCTGTATCTGGACCATTAGAAAACTTTGTCCTGATCATACCACAATTCTAGACAGCCGTGGGTTTTTCTCATAATATCTCAAGATGCAGCTGTAGCATGTTGCTCCAGTTTCCAGCTGAGGACTGTAGTGCGAGGCCTGACTTGTCCAGCAGAGCTCTAGCCTGTACATTACTTCTGCAAAGTCAACATTGTGGAAATACTTTAGTTAAAATTCCATTATCCTAAWTTATCCCATTGTATTCTATATATGTAGCTATCAAAAATGTATATTTTTGTTCTATACCAAATCTGGACTGATGACTTAAAACAGAAACTTTGTTTTAATGCTCTTTTGAAGTTGCCTTTGATAGATACTTGATTGTGTCTCTGTCCATGTATTCCCCTCACCCTGACCCTGTTTTTCCTGCCCAGTTGTGAAAAAAAGTGGAAATATTGGTAGTAGCTCTTCCATGTGGGTGGGTCTTTGTTGTTTGTTTTCTTTRTGATCTCTTGGGGACTCTAACACAAATTAGAAGAAAAAGTTCAATCTCCTGGTAAAGGGATACCTTTTTAAAAAAAATCTTATTTATATTGTTTAATTGTTTATACTATTCATACTATATCCTCTGCAATAATTTGCTCATAATGCAAGTCACTTTGTTCTTATATGCAAACCATTGCTACTGCTAGTGGTCATCATTTTTGAGGAGACTAAGCACAAGAAATTGTTGCTTGTGTATATACTTAACAGTGCCTTCAGAAGATAGGTCTTTGCTTTCAAAAGGAATTTTCAGGCCGATCTACCTCAGCCATGTTTTAATAATTATAGWCTGTGCTTTGGTAGCTGTGCATTGAATCCAGCTGTTTCCAGTTGTCACTGGAAAATGATTGTGCATTTGATTTTTTTCTGTGGTTGCTATTAAATAGATTTGTGTGTTGGCTAAAATTTATGGCTCTCCTTGCRTGTGAATTCTGATTAGTCTTTGGTGGCTTCTTTGGGTAGGTGGTGGTGGATTTTTTGTGTAGTATTAATTAAGCTGTTTAAAGTAAATTACTTCCTGATGAGAGTAATAGCTTTGACACATCAAAATCAAGTTACTCATAGGATTATACCACAGGTTTTTCTGGTTCTTAATTTTTGTTTACACAGGAAGTTTGCTCATCCTTCAGTGGTTGGACCACAAGGTTTTTAAGTTTTGTATAGGCTTTCATAGATAATAAAGCAAGATCTTTTATCTTGGGAAGCATATGCATATCTTCTGAGGAGAGGAAAAAAAACCCCACCATCATGTGCTATGAAGCTATATATGGAATAAACATGTAGYTGTTGTTGCCAGCATTCTGATAGCTTTCTTAGGAGAACAGCCACATGATTTTTTTTGGTAGATTTTCCTGGAGTAGTAACATTTGGATACAAATTTATGGTTGGGGAAAATGTGATTATTTTTCAAAAACTTTTCAGGTTAAGAAATAAACAGATAATCCTCATTGTTTTTTATTAAAAAACTAATACAAATAACAATAAAGTTGATGTGAGTAGATCTGTTGATTTATGTTGAACTGTCAAATATTAAGGAAATTGGGAGGTTGTAAATCAATTTCATGCTGCAGTTCCATTTGATATTGTTAGCAGTTAAAGATACTTGTATTCAAACTTAATGTGAGCAGCAATTATATTGGAAGGGTAAAGCAAAAATGGGATTGAAGACTGTCTATCATTATGTGCCCCTAAATGAGTTAGGAACTTGCTCTCATAGAGTAGGACTAGTTAGGAGTTAGGGCTGGTGGAACTTGCTCTCACAGCATAGGATTTACCTGGAAATCTTTCTGTGTATATCATGCTACAGTTATGTGCTATGTGCATTTCTTTTCTCCCTTCATTATTGGCACTTGGAATTTTGTTATTAAACCATTCCTAATAGTTTTAAGGCAGATCACATTTGTTTTTTCAAGTGGATAGACRTCTTTTATGTGCAAAAGGAAAGATATGTAATAAAATAATATTTTTCAGATGAAGGGAATGAGACAGAGATTCAGCCACAACAGAACAGTCAGCTAATATGGAAACAAGGACGACAGCTGTTAAGACAGTAAGTGTTGAAAAAAGGACTCAAATACTGAATGCAAAGAATCTACTAATGAAATGTGATTGTGATGGTATTTGATTTTTTTTTCAGTTATATTTTTTGAAAAAAAAGTTAGCTTTCTAATGAAGTTCATTGAGCTCCTGCAATACTTTTGGATTTAAAAAAAAATTAGTGTTTCATAATTACAGATGAGAAGACTTGTCAAGTTACAAAAACCTGATCTCATCTAGTTTTCTTTCACTGAGTATAATCAAACAGTCTGCTTGGGGGAACAGTGGGTCACGACACTTTGCAGTTAAAAAACACAAGTAATTCTGCTAAGAGCTGTGTAAAATAAAAAATGCTAGCATTGGAGAAGGAAAAGTTTTATTTTGGCTTGCTTGAGTTGCAGAAAAGGCCAAACATCCAGGAGGTTAAGCTAGATGTTTTCTAATTCTCTGTTCATYTCAATGAAACAAATATCTGTTAATCAAAATTAATTTTAAAATTGTGATCATAGTAACTAAATTAATTTTCAAGGTATTTAGTATTTTACAGAGGATTAAATGAGAGGGGACTGAGACAGTAAGGGGAGTCTGGAGCTTATATTAAAGGGCCTTTTTCCAAGGAATTCTACAAAAGTTAAATTTGTTGGATGGCTTGTACTTTTGCTGGACCTCAAGTCTTTGAATGCATGTTGAATAAATATAAGTGAAGTGGTCTTGACTTGGATCAGTGATTTTGAAGACTGGTCATTCCTYCTCAGTGCAATTCATGATAGGGTGACAGTGCTGAATATAGAGTGCATATTATTGACAGTCTCTGTTTTGCATAAATGACTTGTATGATTTTTCTATAGCCAACAATCCCTACTTCTCTCCTAACGTGGTTATGTGAATGATATTGTTAAATAATGGGAGGACAATGTTCTTGCAGGAAAAGTGTGTGTCTCTGATTTGTAACAGCTGTCACTGTAAAATAACARTTCCCTTCTTTAGCGTTGTCTAGAGTATTGACCATTTAATCAGTTCAGTGCTATTAACTCTATGTTCTAGAGGGAAGGACACAACCAATTTTTACTTTGTAAAATTGTCATTTCCATCCTATTCCTCTCAAGGGCAACATGGCATATTGATAAAAGAACCAACTTTAAAGCTAWAGAGCCAACTTTAAACCTTGAGGTTTTCATACATGGATTTTTGCTGCTCAGTCTTTTTATGGAAGACAAATTCATATTTTGCAGATCCATTGCAGAATAACGGAAGGGCAAGACAAACATTTTATCGAGCCTAGTCAATCATAAATAGCAACTCTTATAATAGCCACAGCTACAGAATTTTGTTTTTATTCCCTGTTTTCTAGGCTTCTAATAATGTTTACATAAGGAACATATTTGATACTTCTTGTATCTAGTTTCCATGTGCCAAAGAATAAAGTGACCATGGCTGTGCATGCAACTGTGGTGATTTTTATAAAGCATTTGTAAATATTTTATGTGAAWGTGCTTTTCCATTCATTTTAGTAAATGAATGAATAACGTATTGTATAACCTCTGACTGCTAGGCTCTCTGATTTTTTTTTTTCTCAGTGACTGTAGAGGCTGGTACTGCAAGAGGCGATCCCTCTGCAGCTGGTACAGGATGATTTACAAGCACATTTCACTAGCTCAGCACCATAGTTTGCTAAGATAAGGGGTTGAGGATGTGTTTAGGGAGAAGTTTGCATTTAATGTATTGTGGGAGTGAGATGTGCATAGAAGATTAGCATGAGTTCTCTTCCTTCAGGTATCTACAGGAAGTGGGCTACACCGACACGATATTGGATGTGAAATCAAAACGAGTGCGAGCTTTATTGGGCCTCTCAAGTGATGCTTCAGAAAAAGAAAACAGAAATCAAGAGCCAATGGTAAATGGCACAGAGGGCCAGATTAAAGAAAACGCAATGATTGGGTAAGCATCAAGATGACTTTCTTATCTTTCTGCATAAATGTAGTTAGTGGTCTTTAACAAAATTTTTGTTTATTGAGAAATTTCCAGGATTTTTTTCTAGTTCGAGATTAGACCAATTCTAACGTATTATATTAAGCAATAAGTATGAAAGTAATTCTTTAGATTCACATCTTAAAAGCTCTATAGTGATTTTTTTTAGGTGGATGGCAGCACTAATTCAAATCAAGCCTCTTCTGTGATATGATTGCTAAGTGTGAGAAGTCAGCGTTGTTTCAAGTTAATGGTTTGTTTGTATTGCTGGAAGCTTTACTGTGTAGGTTACATACAGGCTGGCTCTTCTGGTCTGTGCTGACTATGACATGATATATACAGGAGAAGGATTTTTTTGGCTAGATCTGAAAAAGAAAGTCACTCCTTACATTCAGAGTCCTCTAAGTTTCTGGTTTTCTACTAATTAGTAGACATATGTAAATGTGATTTAAATGTAAGGTTGTAATTTCTGTGTTTTAGTATTTCTAATACTATGGAAAGTCAGACAAAGACAGTAAAAGGCTTGTTCTTACTTTTTCTCTTAAGTAATATTGAAGCTTAAGAGACTTTCTTCCATTTTCTTCTCTTTTCCGTGCAGAGTTTAAAAAGAAAAAAAATAAGTTAAACATAACTGTAAAGGCTTCAGGAAAACAATGTTTGTTCTTGTTTAAGATATTGTAGTTGCAAAACTGGAAAAATAATGGCCAGAATAGTAGTAACAATAGATGAGGTGGCTGATTCCCAGGGGTGGCACAGCTTTCCTTAGAGATTCTTACTCTTTATTCCTTTTCTATACTCATGTGGCAAAATTCAAGACCTTTGTTTTCTAAAGGTCTAATATGGTTATATGACACATCTTGTCTTCTAAAAAACATTTGTAAAATTTCATTTATACCCACCTGATAGCTGTACCAACTTCAGGCCAACAAGTTACATAAGGGCAGAAGTTCATTGTTATGTAATTAAATGCAGTGCTGYGACATGGAAAATTTGAATGTGTGAGAAAACCTGCAAGCTACTAAAATATATTGTGTTGCTACATAGTCGCCAAGTCATGTTGTTTATGTACAGCAGCTTTGTTTTGAAGAACAAGGAATGCTTGATAGCTTGTGATAACMGTTTTGGTTTGATTCCTCATGAAGGGGTCACTTCTTAGGGGAAGTGTGTAAGTAAAGCTTCTCCTCTTACACTTCAAACTTTATATGTATTTACATAGTTTTGAAACAGGTGGATATATGTATGAAGTAGTTACCTGACGGATGAAGTACTGGGACAGTGGTTTTGATATAGCAGTTTTGGAGATATTTGCATTTCTTATGTATCTGCTTGGTTTTGGGGTAGATTTGACATTAGGTTTAACACTTTGTAGTTTACCCTGTGGCTGAGCATGTTCACTGATGGAAAAAATTATTTCCATTTCACTATGGCTGTGCAGACTTCTCAGCTGCAAGGCTGGTCAGGTTGTACACTTTGAAAAACTTCTCTTATCTTGACTGTGATGCATGAGATGGCAGACTGCGTTACAGAGCTTGGGGAAGTGTTTTGATGACATAATGAACAAGAAGGTACCCCAGGGTTTTACAGTGGAAAATTTTTCCAGGGTTCTTGTTCACCATGGTCACATCAGTCTTCATAGGTGATTTTGAGTTTCTGGATGTCCCCTGAGATCTTCCTCACTGGAAGGAAAAGTTCAGGATTTTACTAGAATTCCTTGATCAATCTAAGTACAGGACTATCTCTCAATGCTGTGATTATTCTGGGTGCTTCAATCACACTTTCAGGCCACCTCTTTCAATTTTCCTTTCAGGAAGCATCCAGGCTTGCTTCCTGACAAAGACTGCCTGTTATTTAACAGCTATTTCATCTTGTGCTACCAGATACTGTAAAATGTTACGCCTCACTGTTTCTRTGACATGTGGCACTGTTCAACTCCTTCCAACTGCATCATTACTTGCTTCTGAGATTTCAAAGTGCAGCTTTATGGTAGATGCAAAATCAGAAATAAGCTYGTATTTACCTGTTACCTGCCTCACGTGATGCCAGCATTACCTCAGCTTATATAGAACAGCTTATCTTTGAAAAATGTAGCATTGAATAGACAACTAAGATCTCAGGCACATGGATGTGGCTCTTGAAATCAATTGAAATTTTTAGTGAGTATTTGAAAACCTAATTCARCATTTTCCTACCTGGTTGGCAGAAGTAGGAAAAATTTAGGTGACTCAGCTAAATTCTGGCAGTTGAGGAAGGTGAATCCTTTGAAACAACCTCACCAGTGCTAGGTGCTTACTGTGATGGCAAAAGGATTGGTAGTTCCTTGAGCAACCTCTTGTTATTCCTTGTCTGCATGTAAAACAAATGGATTTGGGCTACAGCAAATTTGTACAGTTGGATGGAGTGCAATGAACRAGTGTCTGCTGTTTGATAGCTGTAGAAGAGGAAAGTTGTGGTGAGAAATTGGAAGAACAAGAAACCAAACAAAACCTTAGTGCAATTCCAGGAAGTTTAAGGACATATGGGCGTGTTTGCCAGGACCATGAGACATTGGGGCAGTTGCAAACTAGAATGCAGACTGAAGACTCTCTGTTACTGTATGGGGACAGTGAAACTCTTTGTAGGAGAAAGCTGTCGCCAAGGAAGCCTGTGAACTGCTCAAACCAGTGCAGTTTGGCAGATTTTGTGGTTCAAAATGTATAATGAACATTGATATCTGCTACCAAGTCTGAGGACACTGGTCAAGCTGAAGATGTTTTAGTCGCATTTGAAGAGCAGAGCACTGGGCAAGAAGTAATGAATGAAAATGGATGTAATTTAACAAGGAATACTCCTCTGTTAAAGTGARAAAAGACAACTTGTAGCATGTTTGATTTGTTTGATCTTGGAAATACTGCATAATACATATGCACTGAATCTGGATTTTAAGTCTGAGTTTTAGAAAAATGTTTACACAGTCTGAAAAATGCAAGAAGTGGAGTACAGGACTGGAGTAAAGAGAAACTGTGGATGAGAAATTATGACGACAGATCAATAGGAGTTTAGAAAGAATGTGAGTTAATGTGATGAAGATAGTGTACAATAGAGGGGAAAATGGTACAGTCAAAAACCGGAAGAAATACTGATTTAATAATGCATTTCCAGAATAGGAAAATGGAAGGCACACTAGCTTTTAGTTTCCTTAAAGATTTTTCCATATAGCAGTGTAAATTGCAGAAAGAACAGATTGGCTCAACTGCCTTCTGTACAACTGAACACTTGTGATAAATTTCGAAGAAAGGAAAAAGATTGTATTTGATGCTTTTATGCTGTGATATGGTTATCTCTTTGAGGGGAGAGATGGGGTAATGGAAATAGGAARCAAAACTTGCTTTATGTTTTCATTATTTTTTTGATAGTCAACCAGTACTTTCTTAGTGAAATGAAGATGGGGGAGAACAAAATAAATTAGTATTGCAAAAAAATCCAGGCAAAGAATGGAAKAGCTGATCTACTTTTCAACACAGTCCAATTTTATCACAGTTTTTGTGTAACCATGTTAATCTTTGCATAGTGGTGCTATTCAGCCTCCTTCACAAATACCTCTGACTGTAGCTCTAACTACTTCTGAGCACAGTGGAAACCCACAGTTTTATTATTTTCAATTTTTTTTAAATGCCTTTGATTGTTTTGAAGACAAGTTCTGGCATTTTTCCTCTGACCTCAGGGATGTGTGAAGTGTATACTTTGTGGTGGATAGGGAGAATATTTTCCCCCTGTTCAGCTACTATAGCTTTTACAGATTTTTAAGTTGYTTGTTATACCAGAATTTGCCTTTTACATGAGTTATATCATCTTGTCTGTCTTTTATAACTATTTCAACAACTGAGATTTGGACACAGTGCTGGGATACCAACATTAAGTCGAGCCTTTTCATGGAAAAGGCTGGTGAGAATGTTTGGGGTGTTTATTGTGAAGTTGGTGCTGCTTGCTTTGGTATACAGAAGCATATAATGGTTARTGTAGTGCAAATACTTAATACAGTAATATTTATTTGCAGCAGAGAATATGTAATTTGAATTCTGCTATGCTCTAGTTATTTTAGAAAATTACTGTCTGGCYCCTCATGCCTCTCAGCTTGGTTTTGTCTATCTTAAATGATCGTAATTACATCAGAGAAGTTCCCCTTTCTTTGATAGGGTGATGAACAAACTACTATTGTCTGGCTCTCTTTTAAGCCAAATCAGTTTCTCTTCATTCTTAGGTGAAGTAGTCTCAAACTTTGTGTTACTAGCTGCTGCAYCCATGGCCAATCTTATATTCTTACATTGCCTATTTATTTGCTGATGTACAGATCCTCTTGAAAACTTTAGCACTCAAGACATCATGTGGATTTTGAATGCACCCTGCAAGATTTTGAATGCGTAAATGAATTGTTAATATGATTACGTGAGCTAGATATAGTCCCGTTTKCACTTATTTCATGGAATTTAAAAGGGAATCAGTTTTCAGTTTCTTCAATCAGCTCACTTGCATTACATAAGATAAGTATCACTTGGCATGACTGGACTCAAAAATAGATACTAAAATAATAACCTCATAATAATGGTTTAAATTCCTAACACTTTCAGTGAGAAGAATGGGTGCTTTCCCCCAACAAAATGAAACAGAAATGAAAGCTGCCTGCAAATGTCACTAGTAGCCTTGAAACATGAAAGTACTTAAGTATCTTTAGCTCACTTATTACCTCATTTTCAGTAACTTTATCTTTTCTGATTGAAATCTAAAGAGTCAAATTAGTTTACCTTTGTGAAGGTGTGTATTTGACTACTATTTGGTATGAGTGGAAGCAAATATAATAAAGGAATAAAACTGGAAAGGAATGAGTATATAGCAAAGAAATGTGTATATATATGCATATATGTGAATGTCTATATATAAAAACAGTATAGGCTAGTTCTTGCTAAGGGTTTGATTAGCAGAACTATAAATAGCCA